TAACTACTAATTCTATATAACATATAATATATATTTTTTCTCTAAACTCCTAGTCTAAATTTTTAATCTATCTCATAATAAATTAAATAATAAAAAAATAACTTATGCACATTCATTCATTTTAAGATCTAAATTCGAGAACTTTAATCAAAATAACTAAAACTTTTAACACGTCTAACAAGACACCTATAATTTGTAATTTAATTAGAACTCATTAAATTTTCATTTTTAAAATAAAAATTTAAGTAATTTAATGATAATTTTTTAAAATAAATAAAAAAATTTTAAATTTAAATTATACGATATATAACTCTCTTATATTAAAAAAGAAGAAAATTTATATATCTCACAAAATAATAATAATAATAATAATAATAATAATAATAATAATAATAATAATAATAATAAACAAGCATGGAGGATCCACCGGATTCTAGCTTCCTTTACTTGCCGTGTTAGATATCTTCCAAAGAAATCGTTCTTTAGAAATTAAATCAAAATCAGTTTAAATATTTTATTGATTAGAAGCATGCGAGAGAGAGAAGGTGATCGCTCCTTCTGTCCCTTTCTCCCTTGCGGTCCAACGTCCATACTTAAAAAAACATTTTATAACAACTTTGACAATGATATATAACCAAATTTTCCTTTCATATTAATCTCTTCTTTTTGCCTTCATATCGGATTATTTTAGTTGGAATTTCTAAGCCAGTCAACATCGTTGAACCAAAGTCTTGCAAAAAGACATTAAGATGAGGTGCAATTTATCCTTTTGAAATTAATTTAGACAAAAGGTCATAACTACTTCATTAGTTTGATCTACTAATAAGTAGATTTATTTTTATAAATAAATTTATAATTTAAGTTTTAATATTAATATTTAAATTAAATATTTAAAATTTAAATAAAAAATTTAATTTTTAATTATAAATGAAAATTTTAATTTTTTTTAAAAAATCGAAACTAATATGACACTAAATCTCAAATTTTATTATCAATCGGATATAATACAACATGTTTTATCGGGAACGTATGAGAAGATGGGTTACCCTGGGCCCAGCTCAAATCATGTCAACTTTATCCAGGCTTTACAAATCTGGTTTAAAGGTATAAAGGTCCTTGTCCAACCCATCAAAATTTCAAAACAGTCAAGGCCCATGGAAAGCCCATCTCACATACATACATATATATAA